TCTCTCTCTCTCTCTCTCTCTCTCTTGGGGCTGGGGTGGGGCGGAGCGCGACGTAGGCGGGGCGGCAAGGGGGAGCCCCGGGACCACGAGGGCGCCGCGGAGGCGCACGGATTCCCGGGGAGGACGGAGGGGCAAACCGTGGAAACGAGGGAGTCCCGAGAAGACACGAAGGGGCGAGACACCCCTAGGGACGGGAGACACAGGGACGCAGAGAGACCCCTAGGGACCGACCGCGGCGAGCGGGGAGGGGCCCAGGCAGCACGGGGCAGGAGGCGACAGACGGGGGCCCCTGAGGTGGGCCAGGGGACTGAGCCACGCCGCCCCGGGGAGGGCGGCGACATCGGGGTCCAGGGAGGAGAGACAGACGGAGACGCGCAGCGAAGCACACGGCCGCAGAAGTTCTCGGACGCAGAGCGAGGACGAGACTGCTCTGCAGGACCGGAGACTGCAAGAGACAGAGGCGGACCAGAGGATGAGGGGCAGCACAGGCTCTGAGAGGCAGGCGGCGTCAGGGACAGAGCGCCCCAAGCCTCCCTGAACCCTGGGCCTTCAGTACCAGGCAGAAAGTTTGTTGATTGGCGCAGTGACGCGGACACGGGGACCGCGGTGAGGGCGGAGACGCCGGACTGGCTGGACCCTCCCAGCCACCTAGCGGGTAAGGACGACAGGAGAGAGGAAGGCTCGGAGGTGTCCCCGCCCCGCAGCCACGCCCCGAGTGGGTGTGTGCACGTGCGGGGGGGGGGGGTAAGCGAAACCCCGCCCCGCGGTCGTCTTGGCGACGCCAGCCCCAGCCGGGGCTCCCACATTTGAGCAGGTGCCGAGCCAGCGCCCGCCGCCCGCCCTCGCCTCCGGCCGCCCGCGATCCTGGGCCATGGCCGGCCTGGGCCCCGGCGGAGGCGACTCCGAGGGGGGACCCCGACCTCTGTTTTGCAGAAAGGGGGCTCTGAGGCAGAAGGTGGTCCACGAAGTCAAGAGCCACAAGTTCACCGCTCGCTTCTTCAAGCAGCCCACCTTCTGCAGCCACTGCACCGACTTCATCTGGTGAGGAGGGGTGGGGGCCGGGGGCTGGGGTGCAGACTCGCGCCCCGTGAGCAGGGGCCTACGGCCCCACTCTGGGCTCCGGGATGGCGGGGCGCCGGCCTGGGGGTCTGGACACCAGGGTCAGAGGGGAGGAGGGGACGAGGTGCAGACTGGGCGCAGAGAGGGCTGCACCCCAACTGCGGGCTCCAGGATGGTGGGAGCGGGAGCGTGGACCCCAGGTTAGAGGCAGGAGGATCCGGGTCCTGGACCTCACGGTCCGCGGGCAGGAGGGGCTGAGGGCCAGAATTCCTGGTTCTAGAAAGAGGAGGTGGCTGCGTGGAGGGCGGGTCGGAGGCCACAGCCCTCAGAGCCCTGAGCGGCAGAGGTGGCAGAGGTGGGAGTTCCGGCAGCCCCTTCTGCACTGATCGGTGCATGACTCTTCCAGGGGTATTGGAAAACAGGGCCTGCAGTGTCAAGGTAAGAGCTGGGACCCGGACTCCTGGGACCCCCGAGGGTGGAGGCAGGGTCCCCACAGCTGAGGCTGGCGGCACACGTGTTCGAGGTCCCCAGGGAGGCGCGGGGGAGCCCGGGGCGGGGGGTGTGGCAGAGACAGTCTGTGGAAGGGAGGGAGCTCGGATGGTGGGGCCATCCGCGGGGGTGGTGCTGGGGGCCCCTCCCTCGGCCAGCTCCAGGTGGGGACAGATATTTGGAGAATCTGTTGCCATGGGAACAGGGAGATTTGGAAAAGGGGGAGCTGAAGGGGGGGGAAGGGGCTGGAGATGCAAAGTCAGAGCCCCCCCCAGGCTGCGGTAGCCATGACAACACTATGCAGCCCAGGCAGGGGCAGGCCCGGTGGGGGTCACCGTGATGGGGGGGCGGTTCGGGGGGGGCAGGGAAGGGGGCGAGTCCTAAAGTGCCAGCTGCCACTTGCTGAGAACAGAGTGAGTCAGGGTGGGGTGGGCCAGAGCCACCCCAGGCTCACTCCTGCTCCGTCCTTGCTCTGCTAGGGCTGTGCCTGAGAGTCTGTTTTCAGTCTTCCCATCTGTCTGCGGCCTGGGTCTTCAGGTCTATGGGATCCTGTTTTCCTTCTTCCTGTCTGTCTGTCTCCCTGTCTCCCTGTCTCCCTCCCTCCCTCCCTTGGGCCCCTGTGTGTGATCGCGGCTTTGTGTTTCTGCGATTAAACGCATCCCTCTCCCCTTCGAGTCCGTGTTTTGGGTTTCTCACTGTCCCTGTCTCTGTCCCTGTCTGTCCCTGCACATGGGGTCTCCCCTCTGACTTTCTGCTGTATTCTGTTTGCTCGGATCCCCCCTCCCCCATTTTCTCGCTGTCCACCTCTTTTTCTCTTTCCACTTTGTATCTGTGGGGATCTCTGGATTTACCCACGTCTCGCTCTGGCTCTGTGTCTCTGTGATTTTTCCCTTCAGTCTGCAGCTTTGTGGTTCATCGGCGATGCCACGAATTCGTGACCTTCGAGTGTCCAGGTGCTGGGAAGGGCCCCCAGACGGACGTGAGTGCCCGGACACCTGCCTCCTCCTCAGGCCACACCCGCCCTCACCCCCTGGGCGACCGTCCCAATTTCTCCTGCTATTTTTAAGGCTGGGAGGGGAGGGGGGCTGGAGAGATAGGGGGAGCTTGTCTGGCCCAGATTCTTTGCCCTTGGCCTGGAAAAGGGGACGTGAGGGGCCTGGGACAGGCCGGGGACACAGGTGGGAGACAGAGGAGGGCTGAGGAGACCAGAGACCAAGACGGGAAGGGTGGGCTGCCATCCAGGGGGCCAGATTTAGGGAAACTGAAGGCCGAGGGCCAGAGAGGACAAACCAGTACAGGCATGGAGATCCTGAGGTAAGAGAGAACCTGAGAGAGGAACAGGGATGCAGAGAGAGAGAGAGAGAGAGAGAGAGAGAGAGAGAGAGAGAGGGAGAGAGGGAGAGTGAGCAGGGGAGAGACTGACAGGAGCAGAGAGCACTGAGGGAAACAGCCACTGAGACGAGGACCGGACCTCGAGGGGCAAGGCCAATGCAGGAGATGTAGAAGGCGGGAGGGAGGGTGGAGAGCCTGCAGTGCCCAGCACATGCATGCATGCGCAGATGCACACTCAGATCCGCAGTCTGCCACCCGGCCCTCTGCGAGTCGGGGCTGCCGAGAGCCACCTGCAGGGGCCCGGGCCTCACTCCTCTTCACCGCGTCTTTGAGCCCCTGTAAAATGTGGCCAGTGGTCTAGTGCAGACCCACAGAACTGTCCCCGAGGCCATGCTGTGTGGCCACGAACCGCTGGGCCACAGAAGGGCTGCTGCACTGAGGAGCACTCGTCTGAGGCCCGCTTTGTTCAACTGGCTTAAACTCAGACATGGCAGGTGATCGGTACCAGTGTGGACAACCCAGGCCGGGCACAGGTCAGGGACCTCAGGTGGGCTGAGCATTTTGCCCAGGGTTTGACACAAAGTGGGAGAGTTTTGTGATTAGGAAAGACAGAGAGAGAGAGAGGGAGAGAGGGAGATCCACAGGAGTCCTGAGACATTTTGTGAGTTTGTCAGGTGAAGAAAACAGAAGTTTCCCAGAGCCTATATTCAGTGCCGCTGCCCACCACCTCCCGCCCATGCTGCTCACCCCCCCCTCCGCGTGCCCACCACGCCCTAGCACCAGCTCGAGTGTGCCGTACAGGGTCTGACACAGCTTGTGGGGGCAGCCTGGTGTTCTCCCTGAGCCCAGCTGGGCAGAGGCTCCTGAGGCACAAGCTGGGGTCTCTCTTGAGTGCCAGCCACACTCCTGACCCCTTCCTGCCCCGCCCCCCCAAATTTAACTTACCCCTTGAATTTCTTGACTTCCTGATCTGTGAAAGGGGGGTGAGAATCAATCGTGCCCCTATGGGATCGCTGCGAGATTCCCATGAGTCAGATTCTCGGGATGGGATCTGGACACGGTGAGAACTGTGACACTCATTGTCGCTGCTAACATTATTATTGTCATCATTGAGGAAGCGGAAGTGCCTGGCCAGCTCCTTCCTCTCCATTTTTGCTTCTTCTTAATACTTTTGATCTTGGAAGTCACGTGGTCCAAGCGCATAAGAAGGCAGGAGGGCTTAGAAGTGCTATTTGGCTTCCTTCTTAGGAGACTCCTCACGAAGGTCTCACAGCCCCTCTTTTTCAGGGAGAGAAACCCGAGGCTTGGACAGGGCCCCAACCTGAGTAGTAGGCATCATCAAGATTTGGATATTGGCCAGTTGTGGTAGTGCACACTGGTCATTCCAGCACTAGGGAGGCTGAGGCAGGAGGATCGCTGTGAGTTCAAGGCCAGGCTGGGTTACAGTCACAACCAGTGTGAACTACAAAGTGAGACCCTGTCTCAAAAAACAACGAAGAAAGGGTTTTGCCCTGGAGCTCCCTAGCTGCAGGCCTAGTGGCGTCTCCTTTCTAATAAGAATTCTGGCTTTGAGGAGAATAGCAGCTTCTGTCTGGAGGGCTTGTGGGTCAGGCTCCCTGCAGAGGCCTTCACTCGGGGATGATGGCACCCTACTTACTTCAGTCAGGGTCAGTCCACGGCCTTTAGAGACCCAGAACATCAGCAACTGTCAGTGCCCTCCCCTCCCCATCAATACATTCAAAATAGAACCCGACGCAAATAAATAATACCCGATAGTGTCTTGCATCTCCTCCTCACCATTCTTCCAGTACATTCCCAGCAAAAGTCAAGGTTGAAGTTCCTTAGCCACCCGATGTTGCTCCAGGGGTGGAGACTGGGAAGGAGAGGCCTGTGGGTGTCCTAAGTTCCTGACTGATTGAACCCTAGCAACTTACCTTTGCTTTGAGGCGTAGATTGTTTGTTTCCATTTGACAGAAGAGGACGCTGAGACCCCAAACGGGCCAAGAACTTGCTGCAAATCACAGCTGGGAAGTGGCCTAGTTCTTGTTTCGAAGGAGGGCCGTGTGGGGTGTCTGGAAAAGCACTAGTAATCGCCACGGCGATGCGATGCTGGAGAGTAGCAGGGGAGCTGCCTCGTGCTTGTTCCTGCTATGCCCGCAGCTCACCCCAGTCCCCTGATGCTCTCGTAACAGGGTTCCCCACGGGGCTCAGCCCCCATAAGGCTGGCAGAGGCTGCCCGAGGGCCCAGGCTGTGGCCCGCGCGTCTTCAGAGAACTCGAAGAGGGCGTGCGTGGTGTGTGGGGAGGGTAGAGCCTGTGGGGTGCTGACGCCCCCTTCGTGGTCTGCCCAAGTGCTACGCTGACAACATACGGGTCCCTCACTATCTCAATTGTTTTTTTCTTTTTTAGAGACAGGATCTCGCTATGTAGTTCAGGCTGGCCTTGAACTCACTCTGTAGCTCAAGCTGGCCTCGACCTCGGGGTGATCCTCCTGCCTCAGCCTCCCGAGTGCTTCTGTTACCTCCCAGCTCCACTTCATTTTTCTCCACCCCCATCATATATCCACACACACATACATACACAGACACACACACACACCTCTTTCTTTATTGCGGTGCTGGGACTGAACCCAGGGCCTCCTGCATGTCAGCCTGCTCTCTGCCCAGGCCTCACCCCAGCCCTGCCGCATATTTTATGTATTTACTGTGTTTATATTGTCTCCCTCCGCTAGAAAGAAACCCCAAGGCCAGGCGCCCTTAGCGTGCTTTCCAGGTTCCAGCACCTGGAAACCGCCAGGCGCCCGCGGGGTGTGCAGTGGCCCGGGTGAGGTGGAGCTCGGGGCTGGTCAGGGTCCAGAGGCTCCTGCCCCGCTGAGAGCCCCTCTGTGCCCCCAGGACCCCCGGAACAAGCACAAGTTCCGCCTGCACAGTTACAGCAGCCCCACCTTCTGCGACCACTGCGGCTCGCTGCTGTACGGCCTGGTGCACCAGGGCATGAAGTGCTCCTGTGAGTGCTGCGCCACCGGCTGGGGTGCAGGGGGGCAGCGCCGGGCTTCGAGTGCGACCCAGGCTTGTCCCGCCAGGCTGCGAGATGAACGTGCACCGGCGCTGTGTGCGCAGCGTGCCCTCGCTGTGCGGTGTGGACCACACCGAGCGCCGTGGCCGCCTGCAGCTGGAGATCCGGGCCCCGACCAACGAGGAGATCCACGTCACCGGTGAGGCCCCGCCCACGGAGGCCCCGCCCCTCGCAAGTGGGAGGCCTTTCGTCCCCACGTTGGGACCACACCCCCTACAGGGAGGCCACGCCCACCGATGGCCCTGGCTCCACCTTCAGGGTGGGGCGCCACCGTGGCCAGGCCCCTCTGACTCGACAGCCCCGCCCCCGTCCTAGCCAAATTCCAGGGCCCCTTAATGGCCATTGCAGGGGTCAGGGCCTTGAGGGGGCGAAGAGATGGACAGGAAGGACCTGGTTCTGGGTCAGGACCGGGGCAGACTCCTGAGCCCCAGTGGAAGAAAGCGCTCTGGCTCTGGTTTCTGGGCGTAGGGCTGGTTTGGAAAGGGCCTCGAGCCCTGCCTCCTGGCCCTGTCGAGGGAAGAGGTCATGGGAGCGCATCAGCGCTTGGAATTCTTCGTCGTTCACTGAGGGGGCTGGGAGCCCCTTCCCGGATCTCCGACCCCAGCCACACTTAACCTCCCCTTCACCCTGCAGTCGGCGAGGCCCGAAACCTCATTCCCATGGACCCCAACGGCCTGTCTGATCCCTACGTCAAACTGAAGCTCATCCCAGACCCGCGCAACCTGACCAAACAGAAGACTCGGACGGTGAAAGCCACGCTGAACCCCGTGTGGAACGAGACCTTCGTGTTGTAAGGCTGGATGCTGGGGAGGCTTGGTGACCGGCAGGGTGGCCCGAGGGAGGCCCGCACAGCCCCAGGGAGCAGCCACTGGGAGGTGTTGGACCCAGGGAAAGTCCCCAACATGGCGGGAGCAAGGCAGGGATTGACTGAGGGAGGCAGAGACACGGTAAGAAAGACAGACGTCAAGCAATGGCGGAGCAGGCAGGTACTCCACTCCGAGGAGCTGAGAGACCCGAAGAGCCAGGCCTGGAGGGAGGAAGAGATGCGGAGAGCAGTCCCGAGCAGAGAAGGGCAGGGCGGTGCAGGGAGCAGGACAGACAGCAAGGCAGGTACTCAGGGGCGGAAGAGCAGAGGACAGAGACCCTGAGGCGGGGTCTCAAAAGAAACATAGCCCGGGCCGGGAATTTAGTTCAGGCACCACACCTGCCTCACAAGCGCAAGGTCCGGAGCCTGATCCCCGGTATCAACAAAGAAAAACAAGAAGAAGAAAAAGCACAGCTTGAAGAGAGACACAGATGGAGATGGAGGAGCGGGGGAGAGAAGCCTGGGAAGAGAAGGGACCCAGAGCCCGGAGAGCTGTGCAGAGAAAGACCCGGAGGCAGGGCGGGAGGCAGCCCTTGGGGGAAGTGGAAGGGCCGGGAAGCCCCCAGGAGCAGCACCCGGGACAGGCAGGGGGACCCTGACCCGGCCGCTCACGCCTGCCTCCCCCCACCCCCCAGCAACCTGAAGCCGGGGGACGTGGAGCGCAGGCTCAGCGTGGAGGTGTGGGACTGGGACCGGACTTCGCGCAACGACTTCATGGGGGCCATGTCCTTCGGGGTCTCGGAGCTGCTCAAGGCGCCCGTGGATGGCTGGTGAGGAGCGGGCTGGGGCTGCGGCCAACTCGTGCTGTGGGCTGCTCCAGACGCCCTCCTCCGGCGCCCGCAGCGCAGCTTGCTCTTTGGTCTCCTCTCCCTCCCTCCCCTCTCATCTCACTCTCTCTCTCTCCACCTGTGTGCGTCTCTGTCTCTTTCCCCGCTTGGGGTGTTCCTGCCTCGCCCATGGGTGCCCCGCTTCCCCCACCCCTTCCCGGCCCTGGTGTCCGTCTGTATGTCAGGTACAAGTTACTGAACCAGGAGGAGGGTGAATATTACAATGTGCCGGTGGCAGATGCTGACAACTGCAGCCTCCTCCAGAAGTTTGAGGTACCAGACATCTTCCCCGGGGAGCCCAGTCCAGCCTCCTCTAGCTCAGAGCAGGTGCCCGCTGGTCCTGTGACTGCGACTCCCAGAAGACCCTGAGGCTCCTTCCTCTGTTCTCTCAGGGGGTTCTAGCCCCAGGGCCTGATGGGAACTGTAGTTCTTTTCCATCACCACGGCTTGGAGGTATCAGGGCCCCAGCCCTGCTCTCTCTGGGGGCCCTGATTCTGGCTTTCTTCTCCTGCAGGCCTGCAACTACCCCTTGGAATTGTATGAGGTGAGTGAAGCCGAGGCAGAGGCATGCTCCCTGTGCCTCTCTCCACTTGTCCCTCCTCTGCCTTCTGCATTCAGTTCTGCACCCGGGCGATGAGTAGGGACCTCACACCAGGTCCTTCTGGGGCTTGCTGAGTAATTCCAGTGATGCTGAGGTTGAACCTGACCCTCAGCTGACCCTGCCAAGACAAGAACATCCTGGCAGATACTTAAAACACAGGGCACAGTGACCCAGGCACTGATGAGGCCTGGGGGAGGTCTCCTGGACTTTTTCTACCTGCCCCTTGCTTCAACCTTTCTCCCCATTCACTCACGCGCTCACTCAGTGAACAGTGAACGTTGTGTCCGGGGGTGCAGCATAAGCCAGGGCTGCTCTGGAACCTGTCAGTCAGGCTGCTCCCTTTGGTGCCTGACCTGGAGACAGCAGCCTGGCTTTCAGGGCCAGGAAGCTCACAGTGCTGCCTCGGGCACCCACACCCGCCCACCCATGCCTCTCTGGGACAGCTGCCTGAGAGCCAGGCTGGAGGAAGGAAGGAGGCTTCTCTCCTTGGTTCCTCTTTCAAAAACTCATTGTTGAGCACCTGTGTGTGTGCAAGGCATAGTCATGGTCACGGTGGGCTTCCATGGCTCAGGGAACAGAACAGAAGAGAAAACCTCTGTGTGGGGCTTACACTTGGGGGAAGACAGGAAGCTAAATACATAAGCCTCCAAGGTACTGTGCATGAGGATGTGTTAGAAAGTGATAGCGCAAAGGAGAAAAAGGAACATTAAGGAGGATCCGGAATGCTATTGGGGAAGGCTTTTGTTTTGTTTGGATTTTTTTTTTCCAGTTCCAGGAATCGAGCTCAGGACCCTGGGCATGCCAAGCAGGTGTGGCACCACTGAGCTAAATCCCTGGCCCTGGGTTTGATTTTTGTTGAGACAGGGTCTCACTATATAGCCCAGGCTGGCCTCAAACTCACAGGGGTCCTCCTGCCTCAGCCTCATGAGTGCTGGGATTACACCATGCCTGGCTAGGTTTTGTGACTTTAAGAGCAGTAGGCAGAGAGGCTTCACCAGTAAAGTGACTGCTGGGCAAAGGCCTGAGCATGGGGAGAGTCAGCTGTCAGGAGTCCTGGGAAGGGGCATCTAGGAGACAGAGGGCCCTGAGGCGAGGCCAGGCCTGGAGCCTGGAGCGCAGAGGAGGAGCTGCTGGGAGGCTAGGGAGCTGGACCCAGAGGATGGAGTGGGGAGAGGAGGAAATGAGTCAGGGAAGTGGGGCTGCAGACCTTGGGAGGGTTTGGTTTTTAAACAGTGAGGTGAGAGAGGAGGTATCAGCAGGCAGGTGGCTGGGCAGATGTGGAGGAGCAGGCCAGCCTGGGGCTCAGGGGCAGAAGGAGAGGGAGAAGGGAGCAGGAAAGCGGCTTGAGAGGAGGCAGGAGAGCGGCCAGCTGGCTGAGGCTGAGTGCAGTCCTGAGGCATCATTCATTCAGCCTCGTGCACCCAGCTTCATGCCAGGCAGTGTTGGGGATGCGGAAAGGAGGGAGGCATGCTCCAGCTTCAAGCTGCTGGCTCTCCGCTGCAGGACGCAGTCTCCCAAGTCTCATCCCTGGGGCTGTTGGTGCTGTGGGGTTCTGCAGGGCACATAGGAACCCGAGGGGCATCAGCTTAGGGCCTGGCTTCCCAGTAGAGGTGGCATTAGGTTGAGACCTGAAAGTGAGGGGTGAGCAGTGAGGATGCCCAAGATTCAACACCAACAGTGTGCATAGGCCTGTAATCCCAGCTGTCTGGGGGGCCAAGGCAGGAGGATCACAAGCTCAAGCCCACCCTGACAACCTAGCAATTTTCCAAGACCCTGTCTCAAACCAATAAATAAAAAATAAAAAGGGCTTGGAGTGTAGCTTAGTACCTCACACACACCCCAAAAAAAGTAAAAGCAGAAAAAGAAAGCAGATGTTCTGTTCTGAAGGAAGAAAAAAAATCAAATACAAGCACATGGCAGTGCATATAATTTTCTTTGATTCCATCTTTGGATCTTATTGATTAGTTCCTTAGTGTGTGCATTTTTTTTTGAGTCAGGTCTTGCTTTGCAGTCCAGGCTGGCCTCGGCTGCGAGGCGGCCCTCCTGCCTCAGCCTGGGATGTCAGGTGTGCATGGCAGTGATGCTGTTCACTGCTGTCATGCAGGGCTCGGCGGGCCCTGGTAGCAATATTGGCATGCACACCCTGTGCCCGGGCCCTTGGCTCGGCCCTGGGCTGCTGCTGCCGTGGCAGACACAAGCAGCTGCTCTGCCTCCTGGGCCCTGGGCCTTGAACTTCACAGGCCCCGTGGGAGTCGATTCCTGCACGGGGGTCAGTCACAGAGATGGCCCAGTGCTGGCTGGGGTGGGGGTCCAGGAGGTTAGACTCTGCACTAAATTGCACCATCCAGCAGAAGTTTACTGAGCCGAAGCTGAGCCTGGGCTGGGTCACTGTCTCGGAGAACAGAGCCCACCTTGTCATAGTGAGCTTACAGGCTTAGCAGACAGCCACAAAGGGGAGTGGCATCACTGTGCTACCAGGAGCTGTCCAGCAAGGGAGGGGCCGCCAAAGGCCCAGCTGGGCCCCAGAGCAGCTACATGCAGCATGGCCCTGGGACCTGCTGGCAGCACCTCTTCTCAGGCCCAGCCCCAGGTTGACACAGCCGGGAGGCCTCGGAGGGGCCCTGCAGCCTGCTTTAGCAAACCCTCTGGGGATCCCGGCAGAGGATCGAGAACAGCAAGACTCTAGCTGAGTTGCTTGGGCTCCGGTTCCACTCTGCTCTGTGACTCTGGGCAAATCCCACAACCTCTCTGTGCCAGTTTTCTCTTCTGTGAAATGGGGGGACAGCCAGTTTCCCAGAGATGTCATATTGGCAGCGAGGGTCAGTTAACAGTCAGTGCAGCCTGCAAGCTTCTCGGAGTCTTAGAAAGTTCTGAACCCAAGAACAGGGCAGGTGTGTGATGGTTTCTTCTCTTTATCCTTCCTATCCCCCTCTCTGACTCCCCGTCTTCTCCCTTCTCACAGCGAGTTCGGATGGGCCCCACATCCTCCCCGATCCCCTCCCCATCCCCCAGCCCCACCGACTCCAAGCGCTGCTTCTTCGGGGCCAGCCCAGGACGCCTGCACATCTCCGACTTCAGCTTCCTCATGGTTCTAGGAAAAGGCAGTTTCGGGAAGGTTGGATTCTGGGATTCTGGGGTCAGGGGAGGATGCGGATGCAGAGCTGGGGTTCTGGAGACTAGGGGATCATAGAAGACTGGGCTCCCAAGTTAGGGCTGGGTTGTGCGGCTCGGGTTCCTGGATGACAGGAATAGAGGCGCCTGTGCTCCCTGAGGGGTGGACGCAAGGGCAGGGCGTCGGGCCCCACGGTGGGGGCCCGGAGCCGGAGAGGAGCTGGGCCAGGCCCTGTGCGTGGAGACGGAGGCCGGCCCGCTGGACCTCTCGCAGGTGATGCTGGCGGAGCGCAGAGGCTCGGACGAGCTCTACGCCATCAAGATCCTGAAAAAGGACGTGATCGTCCAGGACGACGACGTGGACTGCACCCTGGTGGAGAAACGCGTGCTGGCTCTGGGGGGCCGAGGTCCAGGCGGACGGCCCCACTTCCTCACCCAGCTGCACTCCACCTTCCAGACTCCGGTGAGGGAGGAAGGCGGAGGGAGGGAGGAAGGCGGAGAGGGCGTGGCCAGGCGGCTCCGTAGGGGCGTGGCCAGGATGCACTGTTCTGGGCCTCTCCTGGTGGGTGGGCTCCTTGGGGCGTGGCTGTGAGGGGTGTGGCCAGACGATGGGTCACCATTTTGTATTCTTACTGAAGGATGGGTCAGAAACGGGGGCGTCACCCTAAGATTGTTGTGTGGAGCAAGGAGTCAGAAACCAGGGTTTGGGGACGGCGGGACTTTCCAGGGGCTTGGAATGGGTGTGACTGGCTTCCTAGATTGAATGCAGGTAATGCAGGTAAAGCAGGCGAAGCCTGAGCACTGTTGGCCACAGGTTGCTAGAACGACGGCTGTGTGTGGCCTGTGCAGAAAGGCTTTGGTGTGTCCGGGTCTCAGCTGAGTGGTCCGGCCTCGGTATTCGGACCGTGCAACCGGAACACTTGATAGCCAGCAGTGGTGACCCAGGCTGTGGAGGTTCTGAGGGGGCACGGCGAGACCCCTGGGGCCGTGTTTCGGGGTGGGGTCCCCAGTCCGTCGCACTGTGCTGAGCGGCAGGCAGCTGTCCCTGCCTCTGATGCACTGGGCCCCCAGGACCGCCTGTATTTCGTGATGGAGTATGTCACCGGGGGCGACCTGATGTACCACATTCAGCAGCTGGGCAAGTTCAAGGAGCCCCACGCAGCGTGAGTCTCAGCCGGAGCCAGGCGCAGGGAGGGCTGCGGACAGGACAGGCCAGGCCCCCGACCTCTGGCTTCCTCCCCGCTCCAGGTTCTATGCCGCAGAGATCGCCATCGGCCTCTTCTTCCTTCACAACCAGGGCATCATCTACAGGTTGGCGCCCGGGACTCCCAGGGAGGGGAATGGGGCGGTGGCAGCTCCACCGCTGAACTCGGCCCTTCCGACATCCTGCCAGGGACCTGAAGCTGGACAACGTGATGCTGGATGCCGAGGGGCACATCAAGATCACTGACTTCGGCATGTGCAAGGAAAACGTGTTCCCGGGGACCACAACGCGGACCTTCTGTGGGACCCCGGACTACATAGCCCCCGAGGTAACCCAAGGCCTGCTCAGCCAGGCGAGCTCTGCTGCCCTGTCCCAACTTGGGGAGTCCTCTCAAGGCGACCAGACTGTGCAGGGGGTCTGTGCGTGAGCCATCCGGAGGAGGGGCCGGGTCTCTGGACAGGCAGAGCACAGGCCCTGGGGTGAATGTGCTAAGGCGGTGCGTGGGTCCAGCTCCGAGGACTCCTGAGCAGGTAGGGGCTGGACTGCTAAGTGGGGCTATTTTTAGAGCACTCTGGGGGCACCTGTCCCTGAGAACACTGCGCCCACATGTGGAGGCTGGAGGCTGTGTCCTGTGGATGCTAGCTGCGTGGAGCTCACCTTGAGTAATCAGTTGCACCAGAGCTCCCTGATAAGTGTTGCACGTGGTTCCGTGTGTGTGTGTGTGTGTGTGTGTGTGTGTGTGTGTCCTGGTTACTTTTCTTGTTGCAGAGACAAGATACTTGACTCCCAAAGTTAAAGGAGAAAGGTTTATTTAGCTCGCAGTTTGTAGAGGTTGCAGTCCATAATCAGCTGGCTCCAAGGTAGGGTGGCACATGGCAGAGGGGCATCAGTTCTTGGCAGACTGAAGGTAGCAAAGCAACAAGGGACCTTAGCAGTGTCTTCCTGCCCCTTTATCTTGACCAGACCACCGGGATTAGGGTGGTACCAAACCAGTCAGTGGACTAAGTCTAAGTAATCAATACCCTTAATCCCAGCATCACACACTCTAGATTCAGCCAGCTCTGAAAAAGCCCTGACTGCATGAGGCTTTGGGGAACATCTAGATGGAAACCATAACAGTGTGTGTGCATGCGTGTGCATGTGCGTGTGTCTGGGGGTGGAGCCCAGGCCTGCAGCAGGCACATGGTGTATTCATCTCTGCCATTCCAGGAGGGCTGGGCCGGGACCCGCAGAATCCTGGTGGTAGGTGTCATCCCTTGAGTGTTTCCAGGGGTTGGGCAGAGAATCGCTCTGACATTGCAGAGCTGGGGCTGGTGTCTGACTGTACCTGGAGATGGGTGGTGTGTGTTCCTGACTTCCTAAGTTGGACAGCAAGTTGTATGGGGATGTTGGCCCTCGGTCTTCTTAGTTGGTTGATGCAAGTGCCCAAATAATCAGTGTCAGTGGTTGTAAAACTGGTAAGAGAATCACCTTCAGAAACTTAGAAAATGATACATATTTTTCTGACTGTAACTCTGGCTTATGGAACCCAGGACTCTTCAGGAATGGGAACATCTATTTTTCAAAAAGTCCTTTGATGAAAAAAAAAAACTAGCCAGGTGTGGTGGCACACACCTGTAATCAGAGCACCCAGGAGGCTGAGGCAGGAGGGTCACCACAAGTTCTAGGCCAGTCTGAACTACATAGCAAGACCTTGTCTAAAAATAAAAGTCCTGAAGCCAGGGATTTAGCTCAGTGGTTCTGCCACCTGCCTCGAAAGTGCAAGGTCCTGAGCTCAGTTCCTGGTACCAAATAAAATAAAATTTAAAAATGAATAAATAAAAATAAAAGTCCTTCGATGACCCTGCTGTTGGTTCAGGTTTAAGAATCTCTGGTCTCTGAGATGTAGCCCCAGGCCCAACTGGAAGGGAAGGTCCAGTTACAAAAAGATCCTAAGTGGGTGGAACTTGTGACTCAGACCTTAAATAGCTTTTATATCTGAGAATAAAGAAACGTTCAGGGCCAGGGATTTAGCTCAGTGGTTCCGCCGCCTGCCTCTAAAGTGCAAGGTCCCGAGTTCAATCTCCAGTACCAAAATCCAAGCCAAACAAAACACGAAACATTCTATGTAGGTAAACTTTGTTTCCTGAATTTTCCAAAGGGCGGAGCTCTAGACGAAATGTTCAGAGTGGGAGGAGCTTGCGTGGAAAGCACTTGCGGTGGGTGTCCTGGGTGTGAGGCCCGAGAGCCGGGTTCCTGGGGAAGATGGTCACTCCTGGCCATGCCCTCTCCTCAGATCATTGCCTACCAGCCCTATGGGAAGTCCGTCGATTGGTGGTCCTTCGGGGTGCTGCTCTACGAAATGTTGGCAGGGCAGGTAAGGACGGTGGGGTGGACGGGGAGGTGCTGGCTGCGGAGGGAGCCCTGGGTCGGGAACGGCGGGGCCAGGAGGGGCCCATAGTTCTCCGGGCCGCCGAGGTGGCCGGCGCCGCTGTCCGAGGTTCTGAAGCCTTATTTTGCTGCACGGGCCCAGGGTTCTCAATCTGTTGCTAGTGGTCTGGCCAAACCTATGAACTCCTTCCCAAAATAATATTTTCATGTTCACGAAATAAAATAGGTGACAAAAGAAAGCAATCATTGATAGTTCGTTCCCTGTACCAAAAAAAAGAAAGCAAGCAAGCAAGCAAGCAGCCATTGGAATATAGTTAACAGGGGCCGGGGATCTAGCTCAGTGGTTCAGGCGCCTGCCTCACAAGCGCAAGGTCCCGAGTTCAATCCCCGATACCAAAAAAAGAAAAAAAGAAATATAGTTACCAAAACTTAAAGTCCAATTAGTCTAACCTAATTAAATTAAATATATAAGCTATCTAAATATTAGAAGTTGGAATATGGGAACATGTTCAGGTTCTTATGTGCTCTCACAGTAATACAAAATAAAAAGGAAGGTCTTGCAGTGAGTGTGAGGCAGGAGCGATAATTGGAAATACCTGTGGCTGCTATTGGTGGTAAAGATGCAAGTGCAGCTGTGGCAGTTTGTTGCCTGCATTCTTTTTTTCTTTGGTACCCGGGATTGAACTCAGGTACTTGCGCTTGCACAGCAGGCGGCCAAACCATGGAGCTAAATCCCTGGCCCTGCCTGCATTCTTAATCGGGGGAAATCTGACCTTCAGCTGGCACCGAGCTAAGTAAGATGCCAGTTTTCCCATCCTGTTGCACAGCCCCCTCGGTGGTGGCCACGGACCAGCTGAACTTCAAATTACGAACCTCTGCCCTCGGGAGCCTCCCCTTGCCCCAGAAGAAGGGGCCGCTGAGCTAATGTGGAGAAGGCACTTGCAGACAAAGAGGGCCAGGGAGCAGCGAGGTGCAGGATGAGGCCTGGAGGCGGAAGGCTGGGGCGATGGGGGCTTGGTGGTGTGGTCTGCCCTCCGGAGCTGTCGGGGTCAGCAGTTGGTCCTGGTCACGGTCCGACGATGGTGGAAGTTTGAGTCTCTGACCTCCCTCGCTCCACTCTCATAGCCGCCCTTTGACGGGGAGGATGAGGAGGAGCTGTTTCAGGCCATCATGGAGCAGACAGTCACCTATCCCAAGTCACTTTCCCGGGAAGCTGTGGCCATCTGCAAGGGGGTGAGAGCCCCTCTCGGCCCCCGGGTCACCCACACTCCACGTGGCCAGCCCTTCTGGGAAGCCTCCCTTCCCCAGCCCCTGGGCTTGCCTCTGTCGGACATGTTGATGGATCGTTACTTTGCCAGGTCGCTACCACCCTGTCTGAGTCTGGGCCCCCGCCCGGCCGCTGCCAGCCCCTGCCTCTCCTGGCCTGGGGGTGGCGGTGAGGGTCCGATAGCCCTAAGTCCCACAGCTCCACACCGTGGTCCCCTCTCGTGCAGTCTCGGAGCTGGTGTGGGAGGTTTGCACCCTTCTGCCTCTGCTCCTGCGCCTCGGCCGGCCCTCTGACCACCATCTCCGGGTCTCTGTCTCCTGCCTCTGCCTCTCTACGCCTGCTGGGGTTTCCTGTGTGCACCTCTTGCCAGTGTCTCCCCATGCTTGGCGTCTGCCCTTCCCTCTCTGGGTCTCTCTTCCTCCTTTTCTCCGCGTGTCCAACCCTCTCTGCCCTCTTCTTCTTCCTTCCCTTTCGGGGATGTCCCATGTCTCCTTCCTCTCTTCCTGGCTTTCTCTGCCCCTCGAACCCTCACGCTTTGATTTTCTTCTCGTTCTCTGCCCACCCCCGGGTCCCTGGGGCTGGAGTTCGCCTCTTCCCATTCCCACTCCACTCCCACATTCTCCTCCCTCCTCTTTCTGCTCCTCCCCCTCTGTTCTCCCTCTGGTCTCCGTGCCCGTGTTGCTCTGTCCCTCTGCCATTCTTTGTCGTTTCCTCCGTTCTCTGGGCCTCCTGTCCATCGCACTGTCCTTCTTCGTGTTTCCCCCAGTTCTTGACCAAACACCCAGCAAAGCGCCTGGGCTCCGGGCCCGACGGGGAACCCACAATCCGGGCGCACGGCTTTTTCCGCTGGATCGACTGGGACCGGCTGGAGCGGCTGGAGATCGCGCCTCCGTTCAGACCTCGCCCGGTCAGCCCCCCTGCACCCCCTACACCCCCAAACCAGGTCCCCGTGGGGTGGGCCGGCCTGAGCATCAGAACCATACCCGAGGACTGGGGTTCCCCCTTCGGAGACATCCTGAAGAGGGTGCAGAGAACACCCTGTCCCTAACCCTAAGAGATCTGGGGGAGACAGGATGCAGACCCCCGCGGAGGCGGCGGAACCCTAACTCCTCTCCTGCGCGTCCTGCAGTGTGGCCGCAGCGGTGAGAACTTCGACAAGTTCTTCACACGGGCGGCGCCAGCTCTGACCCCGCCAGACCGCCTGGTCCTGGCCAGCATCGACCAGGCGGATTTCCAGGGCTTCACCTACGTGAACCCCGACTTTGTACACCCAGACGCGCGCAGCCCCACCAGCCCCGTGCCCGTGCCCGTCATGTGATGCCCTCTGCGGCCGCTAGGTGTCCCCCCTGTGCCCTCCGAGCTAGATCCCGCCCCGCCGCGCTCGGGCCTGGTCCTTAGACCCGGGTTCTAGACCACCCCCCCCATCACCTGGCCTCCTAAATCCATCCGGGCTCCCCCGAGCCTTCCAGCGTTCTAGATCTGGCTGTGGTGAGCCCCGGATTCACCGCCCGCCGGCCCCGAGGGGCTCTGGGCTCCGTCCGCAGTTCCCTCTCCTTTCTCCCACCTGCCCTGGGGAAGGGGACTCAGGGGTCCCCGCTCCCCGCCCCCCACCCTCCGCGCCCCGCCCACCTCTGCTCCCGGTGCGGAGTGAGCGGGAGGCCGTGCCCGCTCCCCCGGCTCCAGGGGTGCCGGAAGGGGCCTTCGCCCGCCCACGTTCTCAGCCGGCTTTTCTTCTAGACTCTCCCACGGACCCACCAGGCACCCACACCCCGCCCGCGCATGGCTCCAGCCTCTCCGGAAACCTGGGACCCCCCCCCTTCCCCGGGGCCTGCCGGCTCTGGAGGCTCCTCCGCCTGCCCCTTAGCCTCTCTCACCCGGCCACAGCTGCCGAGAATAAACTTGGGATGCTGACGCTGAAGGGTTTGGGTGTTTTCTTGTAAGCTTGGAGAGTGGAGGGGAGCGGAGTGGGATAGCGACTGCACGGGACAAACAGGTGGGGTGCGAGGGGGGCACTCAGATCACGGCGTGATGCGGGGAGAGCGCCTCCCTCGACTTCACGAGTCAGAAATGTGCACTTAGACACCGAAAGTGTGAGACAGACCACGCTCACCCACAACGCAAGCACCCCCGGACACGGGCGCACACCCACCTTGAGACCCAGAGGTCGGAGGAGTCCTGTGAAAGGACACTGGGCCAAAGGGAGAGGCCCCAGGACGGAAGAGCTCAGGGAACCAGGGCCGGGGCTCTCGGCGGCAGCCAGCCAGGCAGCAGGCAGGCGCATCCTCCCGCCTCTTCTCTCTTGACCCACTTGCGAGTCGGGAGAGTGGCGGGACCCGTGCAGATGGACTACGTTTCCCAGCGGCCATCATGGCAGCCCCTTCCCCCAGGTGCAGCCCCTGGCCGCGGGGGCTGACGGGGAATGTAGTCCTCAGACTGGGCAGGCCCGCGGTGTAGTGCCCGCCGGTGGGGGGGGGGGCTCAGCCCCAGAGCCTCGCAGGTTCTCCTGAGGGTCCGGCGTCTCTTCTTGCCTGCAGGCTCCCGGGCTTCGGAGCCCTGCCCAAGTGGATGCCGAGCTCCCCTGCCTCCCGCCCCGCCCGCTGCACCGCCCCGTGCCCGCAGGCCCCGCTCCGACCCGCGGCGGGCGGCCGGCCCCTTTAAGAGTGGCCCCGCTGACATCACGGCGGGGGGGCTGGCCCGGCTCCGGCTCCGCGGCGGCTGCAGGACCCGGCTCCGCTCTGCGCCCGCCCGCCGCTGGGACCCCGGCCCGGCCAGAGCTCCTGCCCTGGGGACCCCCCGCTGCCGCTCCCTCCCAGGGTCTCCGCCTCTGCCCCCTTCCCCCTGCCGCACCTCCCCGGGCTCAAGGTGTCCGGGACCCCGCGCCCGTCGACCCGCGGGCTCTGCGCGTTCCGTGCGTCCGGCTCCCTGACCTCTGCACTCGCCCGGCCTCCGAGCCCAGCCTCAGCGTGGGGGCTGGGGCCTCAGCTCCGGCTCTGCCCCTCGAGCTCCGCCGCCGGCCCCTCCACCCTCCAGGCCGCGGGGCTGCGGGACCCCGCGTCCTCTCCGCGCCGCTGCCCTCTCGGGCACTCTCTCCCCTCGCCCCGTCCTCAAGGCCCGTCGCCCCCTCCCTCCTCACCCGCTCCGCGCCCCTCCCCTCCTCCGCAGCAGCCAATGAGCAGCCGCCGGTCCCTGCGCCCGGCCGCGTCCGCCTAGTGAGGCCGCGGGAGCGGGGGGTGGGGGGTGGGAGGCCGGGAGGGGCCGGGACGCCGGGCTCCGGGGCGGGGGGCGCGGGCAGCGGCCGGGGGAAGCTGCGGGGCCGGTCATGCAGCTGTGGGGCCGGCGGCCCGGAGCGAGCGCCCAGCCCTGAACGAGGTGAGCGCGGGGAGGGTCCTGGGGGGTTGGGGGCGCCCGAGGTAGAGGCTGCGGGCCGGCGTGGGGCTGAGCAGGGCCCCAGGGGCTCCGGGGCGGGGTCCTGGGGGTCCGGACGCTTGAGAACCGAGTCTGGGGGACGCAGGGACCTCGGGGCCTGGCAGATCCCAGAGGACGGGATCTGAGGGTCCCGGAGCGGGGAAACTGAGCTCCCAGAGTCAGAGTCGCAGAGCGCTGCACCGGGAGGGTCGAGGCCCGGCCCGATGGAGGGCGGCACCGGGTGCGGGTGGAGGCCCAGTCCCCGGGGAGCGCGCTGGGAGTCTGGAAAGGGGTCCCGAGGAAGGGGCAGCTGCGGTCTCCCAAGAGACTGGAGGGAGTTTGGACTTGGGTTCCGAGGACCGGAACCTCAGGGGTCCACACGCCTGGAGGTGGGGAGGCTGGGACCAGATGGGAGGTGGCTCCAGGCCCGAGAGGAGGGTCCCAAAGGGACCAGGGCTGCAGGACGGGAAACTGGCGGCCAGGCAGAGCGCGGAGGAACTGGGACGGAGGGAGGGGTCGGGGAGGGAGAGGGTGCGAAGGCCCGGGCCCAGCCAGGGGCCCGCGGGCGGGTAGGTGCCTGGGGAAGCCGGGACAGCCGCTTGGGCTGGGACATCAGGCAAGGGGCTTAGGGTGTTTGTTTCCGAGCTGAAGTCAGCAGGCAGCTAGCGGTCAGGTCCCGGAGCCACAGGGTGGGGGATGGAGGAGAGGCTGTGCCAGCCTCCTGGACTAAACCCCATGCCCTCCGGAGGCTGGGGCTTCAGCGGGAGCCTCTGGACACTGGGGGTGCCAAGTGAGGGGAGACCTCAGAGTCCAGGGCTCCTGCTGGGGCAGGGCAGAGTTTAGAGGCCCTGGGGACTCGGGTTAAGGTAGGTGAATCGGTCTGTGTCTTGATTGTCAGGGTGGAAAACTTTGCAGGTAGAGATGATGGATATCGCTGGTTTTCGAGGACCCAGAGGGTCTGGACTGATTTATCCTAGGCATCCCAAGGTGATCCCCTACATCATGGGACTTTGTGGCACAAGGGACCTTCCTTCAAGGAAGCTGGGATGTGTGGACTGCAGATAAGGGATTTGGAGTCCTTCAGTTCTAGGTCTAGAGGCCCCTGAGTTGAGTTGGAGTCACAGCTATGACTTGGGGATTTCTCCTTTGTAAGTCCAGTGCTGGGGTCCAGGTCCCATACCAGTTGTTGTGGTGTGTGTGTGTGTGTGTGTATGTGTGTGTGTGTGTGTGTGATTGGAGTCCTAGTATGGGAAATTGGGATCTAGAATCTCCGGTGCAGAATATGGGGGTCGTGTGGTGGGGGCACTGTCCTCAGGGAGCACTGAGTCCTAGTTCACAGGGTGATGGCCCCTGGTTTTGCTGGAGTTCTTGTTGGGGTGCTGGCTCACGGTTTTGACATCCTTGGGTCTCTAGTCAACACCACGGCTCCAGGTGTCTGGGTTCCAGTGATCGGGATCTGGCAACCTGTGAACAAATTCCCGAATCCCAGCTTCGAGTCTTGCCTTTGGTTGGGAGAGTGGAGTTAGAGGTCTAGAATCGAAGTTCTGGATCATGGATGTGAGATCAGATTGTAACACCAAGCACAGGATCGGAGGCAGAAGTTCTTAGCATTGGAATTGGCTCTTAGGGTCAAGATAAAAGCTCGGGCGGGGGGTCTCTCTCACAGTCTCAGATAGTTCTGAGGTCAAGATTCTGAAGCCATGGTGTGGGGCCAGGGATCTGTGATTAGTGACTCCTTTGGAGGCTTTTTGCATGCAGTTCATTTTCTAGACACAGCCCATGGAGCCGTCAAGGCATGGAGTTAAGTCGTGTGGCTTGGGTTGGAGCTCTGGATGGGACAAGTCGTACAGCATCCAAGGTCCAGGGATGTAGAGCCTGGCTCAAAGTGGAGGTGACAGGTCCCTTTTGGAGCCTCATGCTCATCGCTGGGGTGTTGGGTCAGGGCACAGTCAGGGTTGGGGCTCCAGGTCCCGAGGTCAACCTGCTGGCTCTCATAACAGTGTCTGAGGCTCAGGCTCAATGCTGGGGACTCCTGTGGGTCTGATTTGTAAGGCTGGGCCCTCAGACTGGCAGAGGAGGTGAGGGTGGGGAAGAATCTGGAATTGAGATTTCATGATATCGGGACCCAGGTCCAGACCTGGGCCATCTGTGGGTCTGGGCTGAGGGCTGTGGTTGGGAACCTTCCCCTGGGGCCGGGGACGGCTGCAAGTCTGGGAGGCCCATCCCTGAGGTCTGGAGTCAACCGCTGTCTCTGGAGGTCAGAGGCCAGTGCTGCTGGGGTCCTGGTCTGGGACCCAGAAGTAGGATTGCAGAAGGTGCTGACTTGGAGTTGGCATCTCTGGCCAGGGTTCCACGGCCCAATGTGGGGCCAGGCATTGGGGTGTCCCCTTGGGGGTCCCCACTGCAGCTTCCCGCCCCACAGGCCCCGCAGGGCGCCCCCCGCCACTGAGGATGAGTCACTGCAGCAGCCGCGCCCTGACCCTGCTGAGCAGCGTGTTCGGCGCCTGCGGCCTGCTGCTGGTGGGCATCGCTGTGAGCACCGACTACTGGCTGTACATGGAAGAGGGCACGGTGCTGCCGCAGAACCAGACCACCGAGGTCAAGATGGCGCTGCACGCTGGCCTCTGGCGGGTCTGCTTCTTCGCAGGTGCGGGGCGCCCCGTCCTGCCTTGCCCGGGACCCCTGAGTCCTTCACCCCAGTCCCTCCTTGGGTCACAGAAATCCAGGTCACAGGCTCCTCACTTGGAGCCTGGGGTCCACCCCTGGGTCTCCGGGGCAGCTCCCAAGAACGCCCAAGCACCCCAAGCCACCCACTCTCCCACCCTCCAGAACAAAGCACCACGACCCCGGCACACACCCCCCCCCACGGGGTCTCCCACTGCCCCTGCCCTGCGCCTCTCCGGGACTTAACGTCCTCCTCCATCCCATCCCTGCCAGGTCGGGAGAAGGGCCGCTGCGTGGCCTCAGAATACTTCCTCGAACCAGAGATCAACTTGGTGACGGAAAACACGGAGAACATTCTGAGTGAGGGGAACAGGGTGGAGGGGCCTGGGCAACCAGGGGTCCTGGAGAAAGGGCAGGACAGGGAAGGGGCGGCTTGTGCGGAGGGTGCAGGCTCCAAGAAGGCGCAGGAGTGGGAAAGGGAGGGGCGGGGGGGGGGGGGGGGGGGGGGTGTGCAAGAAAGGGGAGGGGCCAGGAGGGGCGGGGCCGGGCCGCGGTGGAGCCCGCAGTGGCAGGTCGAAGGCCCCCCCAGGTGGGAAGTGGGCGGGGCCGAGGTGGGGAGTGGACAGGGCCTCTGGAGACCCCCCCCTCACCCCGCCTCCCTGTCGCCTCCCAGAGACGGTGCGCACGGCCACGCCCTTTCCCATGGTCAGCCTGTTTCTGGTGTTCACCGCCTTTGTCATCAGCAACATCGGCCACATCCGCCCGCAGAGGACCATCCTGGCCTTCGTCTCCGGCATCTTCTTCATCCTCTCGGGTGAGCGCAAAGAAGGGGTTGACTGTGGGCGGGGCTCAGTGTCCTCCGCGCAGTGAGGGACGCAGAGCTGGGGGTGCACGCGCGCTCCTCGCCGCCAGAGCCTGGGTTTTTACCATCACTGACACTTTAGTAATTCAGTGTTTAAGCCTCTTTATTTTCTGCGCAGCATTGTTTTTTTTTTCCAACCGAACAAAAAAGTCTAAAGAGTTTGTGGGGAGCCCTCTGTCAGTTGTGAACTTGCTAGTGGACTCGCGTCTTCTGCCGTCGCCCTCGGCGCCTGACGCCCGTGCAGCTCTCTTCTGTTCTTCTTTCTAATAATGCATTTCAGGCAGTTTCGGCGTCAGTTGCATCTCCGCGCTTGGCATTCGCTAGAGTTCAGGGTTCGCTCACAGCCTTTCCTCCACTGAGGTGCAGAGTCCTCGGGTGTTTGTGATCTCAGTGTCCTCTCGGGGAGCCTCCACCCGAGCTATTATTAGCACTCACCTGAAGCAGTTCGGGTTTGGGACCCGGCTCTGTGCAGTTTACCTGTGTGAGCTTTTGCCAGATGCCTGGGAAGTCCAGAGCTCCAGAGAGCTCTCTCTCAGCCTCCTGAATCTCAGCTGGGCCCAGCCCGTTCTGGTTCTGTCCAGCACAGGGTGGTGCAGCTTAAACACATCTAACCCCGCCAGTACGGCCCAACCAACTCATTCTGACCCAGTTCTCCTACGTGGTTCAAATTCGTGTATCATAATTTAATTAAATTCAAATCAGGTCCTTGCAATTGAGCTGATATTTCAGAAACAAACCCCACCATACAGCTCACCTCCACTGTGTGCCCTGAGCCTGCTCCGGGTCCCTCTTCCCAGTCTGCTGTATAAAGCGCAGGAAGATCTCCAGGGCCCCTCCCCCGACTCCTCCCCCAGCTCTCCCGGGGCCCAGCCTCCCCCAGCCTTCAACCCAACCCGAGGAGACCTTTTCCAGGGAAAGCAGGGTGCAACCTCAGTGCAGACTTGAATCCCGGCGTGTGGAGCCAGACACCGAGCTAAAATAAGACACGTAGGATAACATGATCCGAGAGTGTCAGAGCAAAAAGGTCTCATCATTTTTCAGATGGAAAATAGTGGCCTAGAGAGAGAAAGTGGGGCAAGAGTAGGCAGCATGGGGAGTTTTATTCAGCCTACCCTAAACATTCTAAGGAAGGCCCCATTGTTTGCAGACACAAAAATGGAAATGTGCTAGTCAATGGCAGAATGGGAACCAACCCAGGGGTGTTGTGATTCCAGAGCACGGGCTCATATGCTGCCCCAGGAGCTGACTGGCCAAGGTCGGGCTGGAGGTCAGACTTCTAACCCAGCAGTTTGAGAGAGACTGAGCCCTGCTGCCCAGCCCCTCCCTTGGTTCACGTCAAAGCATCCAATCTATGTGCTTGGCCCCAAGGCCTCAAACGTGCCCTCAGCTTGCCAGTCCCATGGCTGGAAAGGCTGGGGTAAATGTCTTCCCTTGTGGAATTGTTGCTAGTAACACTTGAGTTATGGACTCTGAAATTTGAAGACAATGTCACTTCCATGTGCCATGAGAGATTCTTTTCTTTTTTAACCTGCCAGTTTTCTTTTTTAATGCAAAAGCAATGCATAGGTTGCAAACCATGCAAAAACAAGTGGCAGGCCAAATGGCCACTGAGCTAGTTCATGGATATAAAGTGCCTGGACTATAACAATAAGTGCTCGGTGGAATAAATGATTAAGTAAGTAAATACAATGTAACAGTGGTATTTGAAACTTTAGGGGGTGTCAGGGCCCAGGTGGTTCTGAGTCCTGTGAATTAAGTTATTTTTCTTGACCGTATAATGATGTAGGGACCCTTTTTGTTTTGATTTTTGTTTCATTTTTTGGTAGGTACCATTAATGTTTCCTTTGGGGGGGGGGCGCCGATCGAACTCGGGACCTTGCGCTTTCGAGGCAGGCACTGGAACCACTGAGCTAAATCCCCGGCCCTAATGTTTCCATTTTAACACTGAGGCAAAAGAAGCTCTGAGAGGTTAAATTTGCTGGCAGTGAAAGCAGTATTGTGACCCAGGGTCCTTTATCAGGACACTATGCTGCCTTGCTAAAGTTAAAAATCCTATGGGGCCGGGGATTTAGCTCAGTGGTTCCGCCGCCTGCCTTGCAAGTGAAAGGACCAGAGTTCGATCCCTGATACCAAAAAAACCAGTTAAAAATCCTAAACACGAAGGAAGTTAAAAGGCGAGGATAAGGATGAACAGAAAGCCAACGCCTGAGCTCAGTCGGGCTCAGTCACCCCAATTCCCAGTGAGGGTGTGAAGCCTGGGAGAGGGAGACACGGGCTGCCTGAGGTCGGGCCATCAACCAGGTCTTGCCATGGAATCGGTGAGGGATCGGCGTGCATTTCTGGAGCGCTGTGGGGAAGGGTCAGAGTCACACGGGGTGTAAACTTACACGCCCCCAGCGGCCTGCCCCAGGACAGGCTCCCAGGAAAGAGATCGGAAACAGCCGAGGAAGGAAGGGCACTGTGGGGTGTGGGCTGGACCAGACTGGAGGAGCCGATAAGGACCCGAGGTCAGTGGAGTCCGTGACTGGCCGCGTGCGCTTGGGGAGTGGGGACCAGGCCAGGGGCATTGATTTGCTTTTTCCAGGCCACAGGAGTGACGCCCGCACAGGCCCCTTCGTCACCCGATCCCCAAACGTGACCCACGCACCCATGTCTGGCACCGGCCCTGTGCCAGGCGCTGAACTTGGCACCGGCCCCCGAGTCCTGAGCGAAGGCCCCTCGTGGATTCCCACTGCGCTGCCCCGAGGTCTCGCACTGGGGCGCTGCTCAGCTCGCCGGCGTCATTTGCATTGGAAGTGCTGGTGCACGCCCACCTTGGGCCGGTGTGCGCGCTCCTCCCAGGGCGCTCTTCCCGGTCCTCAGGGCTCCCTCTTGTTCCTTCTGAGTCGCTTTTTCCGAGGATTCCCAGCGCTGCCCCGCCCTCTACTGCCTAGCACAGCTGGATGCCACGTACATCCCAGCCCATCCCAGCTCCGTTCCGTCCCAGTCTCCTTGTACCAGAGTGTGAGCTCCGAAAGGCCGGGTCCTGCCCCTGTCTACGTGCACTGCGCCCAGAGCTGCTGCGTGTCCGGCGGCAACGGGGGAGGGGCGGGGTGCAGCCGGTGCGGCAGGACAGTGTGGGCCCGACCGGCAGAGCTGACCGGAGCAGGCGCGGGGCCCCAGGCTGCAAGGGCGCGGGAGTTTCTCCAGCGCAGAAAGGAAAGCACTGAGTGTGGAGAGGCGGGCGCGGCTGTCCGTGGTTCTGAAACGATCGTTCGCAGGCCAGGTTGGAAGGTTCCGCTCCCAGTGCGGGTGATTCTTGCCTGCTGCGGTGTAAGAAAGATGGAGCGATGTAGTTGAGCACGCGCGGAGAGAGTAAGAGAGTTAGACTGCAGAGAGAGAGGAAGAGAAAAAGAAGACCGTTATTTTTGCAGAATCAGCCACTCGAAATGGCCAGGGAAGAAAAACAAGGATAAGAATGACTTACTACATTCGGAAGGCTAGGGCAGGAGGATCCCAAATTCACGCCCAGCCCGAGCAACTTAGTGAGACTCTGTCTCAAAATAATAATGATTTTATTTTTTTTCAAAATAATGATAATAATGATGTTAAAAAGGGATTGAGGCTGTTCCTCCATGTCAAGGCCTTAGGTTTAATCCCCCCCCCCAGGAAGTCTCCTCGTTGTTGGAAATATTTGTTCCTTTCTTCAAACGCTGCTTTCAGCCCCCTCGTGGAGAGATTGGCTGTTCAGAGCTGTGGTGCAGAATGTGAGCCCTCGGTGTGGGGTGTACTGGTGTCAGGCTGGAGCCGCAGGGCCTTCTCCTGCGGGAAGAAGTGGGCTGTGGCAGAGCTGGAGGGGAAGGAGCAATGCCTTCTGGGTAGGAAGAACCATATCTCAGCAGGAAGATGGGGGTTTCGAAGCAGAGATACACACAGAGAATGAGGCTGGAGCTGGGGCAGAGGACTTCAGGATGCAAAAAGTGGTTTGTTTGGTTTTGTTTGGTTTCTTTTTGACTGGTGCTTTGGACGAGGTCTTGCTATTAGGACCTTGGAACCACTCTGTGGTCGGGGCTGGCCTCAAACCTACTTTGACCCTCGGGCCTCAGCCTCCTGAGTGCTGGGATTCCAGGTGTGCACCACCAGGTCTGGCTTTTTTTGCCTGTGTCTTTGTTTTTTGAGACAGGATCTTGCTATGTAGTTCAGGCTGTCCTTGAACTCACTATGTAACTCAGCCTGGCCTCAAACTTGCAGCAATCCTCCTGCCTCAGCCTCCTGAGTTCTGGGATTACAGCTGTGGCCCATCACACCTGGCTTGTACAAAGTGGTTTTGATTTATGGGGGCTTCAGGAAGGAAGGTGGACTCACTAATCAGGAAGCCGAGGCAGGAGGGTTGTGAGCTGAGGCCAGCTTGGGCAACATACCAGGGCCCTGTCTCAAAAAAAAAAAAAAAAATCAAAGGACATAAAGCGGGCATGATGAGGTGAGTGGCAATCTCTGAGGGATGAGACAGCCGAGGTGACCCTGAGCCTGAAGTGGCCACTGGAGGGAGTGCAGTTTCCAGGCCTCCTTCCAGAAGCCTGCTCACCTTCCAAGAGCGCCTCAGGTTCCTATCCGCCATGTAGCACTCTGTGGACTCTCCCTGTGTTAGGGTTATGGAATATGCTGGGTGCAGTGGCACAGATCTGTAAGACCAGCACTTGGGAGGCTGAGGCAGAAGGATCGAAAGTTCAAGTCCAGCCTGGGCAATTTACCAAGACTCTGTCTCAAAACTAAAAAAAAAAAATTTGTTTTGGTACCGGGGATCGAACGCAGGACCTGGCGCTTGTAAGGCAGGCAGTGGAACCACCGAGCTAAATCCCCAGCCCAAAACTAAATTTTTTTTTTTTAAAGGGTCAGGGATGTAGCTTAGTGTGAAGTCCCAGTTCACTCTCCAGTCTTGAGGAAAAGAAAAAGGAAGTACTAGAAACCGGAAG